TGTAGGGATCTGGTACCCAGGGATTCGAAAAGTCTCCCTAAATACTACAGACAAGCTTCATTGGGCCTCAATCACTAGAAGAGGGTTTGGGGGGGCAGAGCATAGAATATCAAATTAGCACGGAGATTCTCACCCTTCACCCTAAACCCTACACTCTAAACGCTAAACCGACGGTTTAGGGTTTAGGCTTTAGGCTTTAGGGTTTAGGGTGCCTAAACCCCTAAATAAGCTGTCCCATAAGGGCTTTTACAAGGAAACCCAGGATCAGGATCCCTAATCTGGGTTTTGTTAAGGGATTTAATTTAAGTTGCCATACCTGGACCCTGAAAGTATGTAGAATAATAACCTTTTTTACTGGTTTTGGGCCATTATTTCACCTACTTTGGGGGGTTTAGGTAGTAAGGAAACCCGATTATTTACTATAGATCCCTATTATGGTAACTTAAATAAAATCCTTTAACAAGAACCCAGTACTAGGGTAGGTTCTTCAGGGTCCGGGTGGAGCATCGAAGGCTTGGGTATGGACTCAGGGCTTAGGGGCTTAGTTTGGGGCAGGGGGTTTGGAATTGGGAGTGTGGGCTCCCCCAGGTCAGACATGCTATGCAGACTCCGTTTCTAGCCGGGCAGCTTAGAATCAACGTCCCAAAACCCCAAACCCTATAAACCCTACAAACGCTACAAACCCTAAACCCCAAACCGCATAGACCCTAAACCCTAAACCCTAAACCCTATAAACCCTGTAAACCCTATAAATCCCTATAAACCCTATAAATCCCTATAAATCCCTATAAACCCCTATAAATCCCTATAAATCCCTATAAATCCCTACAAACCCTAAACCCTAAACCTGACTGTCAACCCTGCACCCTCAAATTTTCTAAACCCCCTGAAGCCCGACCCCTAGAAACCCCACGGAACCCCACGCCCCAACCACTGAAATCCAGTTTAGGGTGTAGGGCTTCTAAGGTGTGTTTGTAGGGTCTGTAGGGTTTATAGAGAGTAGGGCTTATAGGGTTTATAGGGTTTAGGGCCTACAAGGTTTTTGGGGGTTTAGGGTTTATAGGGTTTATAGGGATTTATAGGGTTCAGGGTTTCGGGTTTGGGCGCCTTGCCCTCCGTGCAGCCGTTGAAATCCTGCCACCAGGGGGAACCAAACTTACTCTCGGTTTAGGGTTTATAGGGTTTGGGGTTTATAGGGGTCTATAGGGGTTTATAGGGGCTTAGGGTTTAGGGTTTAGGGGTAGTTACACCGGTGTGATAAGGATGTTCCAAATCGCTCCATCCGGTGTCAAGACCTCTTAAGTAAGCCAGGGATATGGAAGTCGTTCAAGGCCGCGTGCCAATTACCCTGAGGTGTATTACGGCTTATTACGGTGTCGTACATTAGTGTGTTACAACGTCCTATTCAGATGCTTGCAGTCCCTAAAACTCGACGCCAAAAACCCTAAACCCCCAAACCCCACAAACAACGAATTTCAAGACTTAACCCTCAGTCCCAAACCCACCACACCTGAACTTTAAGACCCTTTAAGACCCACTAATGGACAACAAAGCACGAAAACTCTGAACCCTAGAGCCTGAACCTAAAACCTAAAATCCTGAAGCTCGAAAACCCTATGAACCCTGAAACACGTCACCCTCACACCAAAAGCCCCGAAATCCTAAATCCTAAATCCTTCAAACCTAGGAACCTAAAGACGGTAGCCCTAAACTCCTACCGGCTTTAGAGGGGGTGCAGGCTCAGGTAGGGTCTCGAGTTTGGGGGTTTAGGGTTTAGGATTTATGGTTTGGGGCTTAGGATTTAGGTTTGGGGCTTAGGGGTTGGGGTTTAGGGCTTAGGGTTTAGGGCTTATGGTTTGGGGCTTAGGGGCTTAGGGGTTTAAGGTTCGGGGTTTCGGGTCTGAGGTTGTGGGGTTTAAGGCGAGAGTTCCCCGCGGGTGCCTCCTCTGCCAGCCACAGCGGCGAGGGCGCCTCCGTACTGTTGATGATATAAATCCTGCATTACCTTGAGGACCCTAAACCATGGGAATTATGGTATCTTCCTTACTCTGGGTAATGCAGGATTTATATCATCAACCGTATGACAATGGCTTAGAGGTTCGAGGGTTCCTTTACCTTGATGGCTCCTAAGAGGGTTCTATAACCCTTACCCCCAAAGGACTCATACTTTCTCCAAAGACCCTATTATTTAAGGCTTTTGCGCTGTTTTGATGCTAAGGGTAAGGGGCCTTCTAGGCGGCGGAAGGATTTTGGAGTTTAGGGCTCTAGGCTTGAAGGGTTATGGGGCTTCGGGTTTCGGGCTCAGGGCTTTAGGGCTTCTGGGCTTTAGGGCTTTAAGGTGTTTAGGGCTAAGGGTCTTGGTGCTAAGTCATAAACCCGAAACCCTAAAACAGTATGCGAACTTACTTAAGACGTGATTGATACGTCGAAGGACGGCTCTTCCGACGAGTCCACGAGTGTGGGTTTAAGTTTAGGGCCTCGGGTTTAGGGTTTAGGGTTCAGGGTTTAGGGCCGGGCTCCTGCATTTTATGTGCATCTCTGCGTGCTTCTGGTTGAGGGGTTTAGGATTTAGGGGCTCTCGCGCTTGTGTGGTCTAGTCTCGGTCCATGGACCGGGCTTGACCTCGCTTTGCTTTAGTTTCTCTTGGTTGCTGTAAGGCTTTCGTGTTTAGGGCCGCGAAACCCGAAACCCCCATCATGAACCCTGAAACCGTACCACTGACCTTCTTAAGCTCCTAGAATCCTAGAGCCCTGCATCGATCCTTAGAGCATCCCTTGTCGGAACCGTTTTGTAGAGCCCCACACAGTCCTTGGAGCCACCAGGAAACTCCCATGGAACCCTAACAAGAAAAACCCTAAGAAACCGTCCCGCACCCTTGAAGGAACCACTAAGAAACCCTCACAGAAACCCTGAAAAGGGTTTAGGATCGGGGTTTAGGTAGGGTCTAAACCCTAAACCCTAAACCCTGAAAAGGGTTTAGGGTCTGGGGTTTAGGGTTTACGGCAGAACCCTTAAAACCACCGATTTCGCCCATAAGCTCCAGCAACTCCCTGCCTCGGCCGCAGCGGCAGGTACTAGGGCTGAGCCAAGCATGCTGCCCTGGATCAGGGGTTTGTAGGGTTTAGGGGTTTTGAGGTCTGGGGGTTTATTGTTTAGGAGTTTAGGGTTTAAAGGTTTAGGGTTTAGGGGTTTCGGGATTTAGGGTTTAGGGTTTAGGGTTCAGGGGTTTTTGGGGTCTGGAGCAAGACTGCGTAAGGGTTCTGAGAGAGAGGGCCTATAAAGGTTCCATACTATAGAATTCTAGAACACGGGCTCGATAATAAGGGCTTTACTGCGGAGTTCAAAAAAGGGTTGTATAGAAAGGCTTGTACAGTAAGGGTTCTGTAGCGGCTATATCATGGCTCATTTGAAGGATCAGGGGCTACGTAGGTAGGCTGTACGCAGGGCTATTAATAAGGAAGGTTTTAGGGTTTAGGGTTTAGGGTTTACGGTATAGGGGTTTAGGGGTTTAGGGTTTAGGGTTTAGGGTAGGAAGGTAAGCCAATGTGGGCCTGAACACTAAACCCAAAACTGTGAACCCTAAACCCTCAACCCCAAAGGCTAATCTTCTTATCACGAGGTCCAACTTAGGGTTTAGGGTAGGGGTTTTGCGTTTTGGGTTCAGGGTTTAGGGTTTTAGGGGTTTGGGGGTTTGGGGGTTTAGGGTTTAGGGTTTTTGAGTTCAGGGTTTAGGAGTACAGTATAGCCCACTTGTCCAGTATCCTGGGGAGCTACAGGTTAACCTTTGGGAGTATGTTGGGAGTATATAGGGGTTATAGTACGTACCCGAAAAGGGTTAAAGACTACCTACTCTACTACTAGGATAGGCTATGGGACGTTTGTTCTATACACGCATATCCTTGCACATAATATCCATGAACCTAACCGAAATCCGACGCCCCTAGACCCTAAACCTTCCAGCCTAAAGCCATACATCCCAAAATATTAAACCCTAAACCCTAAACCCTGAAACCTAACTGAACCCGATAGCCTAAACCCTAAACCCTGAACTCTCAACCCTAAACCCTAAACCCTGAACCCAAAATCCCATACACTGCAGACCCCGATCCCTAAATCCCCCACGGAAACCCTTGGCTTGAAGCCCGGAACCGCCAATCCTATACCCTTGGAGTAGGGGGGATGCTCCCGAAATACTGGGGTTCTTGTTATAGGACTTAAATTTAAGTTACCATGATAAAGGGTATAATTTATCATGGTTTACTATAGATCTCCATTACGACAACTTAAACTAGCAAGGACACAGAATAGTACCGCCAACCTACCGTGATCTGCTTCTCTGACTCTGCAGGGGATGTGCACTAAGATGCGTTGCAGCCACAGGTGAAGCCTCTAGACCCCAAATCCCAAGCCCGGGTTGCGACTGAGCCGCCGGAGGGGGAGGCGGCGCACCTCGGACCAAGGAGATGTAGGGCTACTGTTTGGGGAACACTAGGACCTCGACAGTCACACCAGGAACTTTACACCGGTTCTGGGTGCTTGTCGGGGATACAAAACCGAAACAGCTGGCGTCCGGAATAGGGCTTTAGCCTTTCGAGCGGCTGACTCCCGAAAGTGGGGTTTGGGGCTCGCTATACGACAAGCGTGGAACCACACTATTGATCACCAGTATTTGCGGCATCAAGAGCACGATCAACCATCGCTCGCATTCCCGAAATTCTTATGACTTAAAACCCTAAACCCTAAACCCTAAACCCTGAACCCTAAACCCTGAACCCTAAACCCTGAACCCTAAACCCTAAACCCTAAAACCCTTGACATCTGAGGCCTGGTAATGGATGCCAGTTGCAGCTCAACAAACTCAAGAACTGGACTCCCAGAACCCAACGCCCTTAAACTCTTAACCTTAGACCATCTTGGACCCTTAACCCAAAAGGACCTAAACCCAATACCCAAAGCCCGATACCATATGTCCTACCCCAAACAGGAAGCTCAACTATTTTTCATGCACCAACACCCGCCCTCTTCCTATGCCTTTTTTCCGGTGCGTCAGCTGAATCCTCCCACTGCTGACACCCCACCCGCTCGGTATCCGCAAGCTGCGTGTTGAGTCGCTTCACCAGCTGACGCAGGGAGGGCAGGAGCTTCTCGTAGTAGCTCTGGTGGCCCAAGGAATACCCGCTTCCCCCTAGCCAGGACTGCACTTTCGAGTCCTCCCCGCCGGGCGCAAGCTTCGCCAGTAAGTCGCGGATCTCGGGGCGCGGAACTGCTTGCCGTGGTTTCGGCACGGCCCTCTGTAAGCCCAAGCACATCAGCACCAGCTCTCCCACCTCCATGTTAAGGGCTTAGGGTCTAGGGTTTAAGGGTTTAGGGTTTAGGGTTTAAGGTTTAAGGGTTTAGGGTTCAGGGTTTAGGGTTTAGGGTTTCAGCTGTTTCTTGGGGATTTATTCAACGAGAATTTAAAGAACTCCTTCCAAGTACCCCTGGGACCTCCGTCTCTGTCTTCGTCCTCTTGCAGATTGGCAGCGTAGGGTATCCTGCGCTGTTGTTGGAGGTCCTTGAAATATGTTCTTATCCATCCTTTTTTAAGAAGGTACTGTGCGATTACTAATATTCATGATCCCTAAACCTCAACCCCTAATCCCTAGACCTAGACCCCTAAACGCTGATTGTAAACGCTGATATGTCAAAAGTTCTGACACTATAATACACCATACTATACTATACTATAGCATGTTCTACTATATACTGTACTGTACTATACTATACTATACTGCACCACACTGTACTATACTATACTATGCTATTGTATACTGTAATATACTATAATATACTATACTATAATATACCATAGTATACTATCATCTACTACAAAAATACCATTATATACCATACTATATAGTTACTATATTGTAACAAACAAAAACCAATGTCCAAGTGCCGCCAAGAAACCCTCCGAGGTCAAAGGAGTGGCTTCTTTTCCCTTCTCTTGGGCTGCGTCCGTCTTCGTCTTCTGCGCAGCCTTGTAGGGTCGTAGGATTAGGGATTAGGGTTTAGGG